TAGTGTCTTTAACATGAGTGCAGGTTAACAAAAACAAAAACAAATCATATTGTGATTTGTGACCAAATCCTATCACTAACAAATGAGTGGATATAATACTGCTCTCCAAAGATCTAGATTTAGTGCAGGAGTGTGGGTTTTTTAACACGTTGAAAAAAAAAAGTGTCACTCTGTCACTCCAGATCAGAAGTGACATTTTAGCACCAGCAGCAGCTGCTGACGGGTTCTCTCTGCACTTCCCAGGAACGATTGCTTTTCTTCTGCCTTTTTCAGTCCTCACTCTAATTCTGGTACAGGATTTCTTTTCTGCTCATTTCACAGTACCTTGCTATTACTGCCTCCCTTGCTTTTTGCCTTAATGTCTCCTATGGGTGTTCCTGTCCAACAGAAATCTAGAAATTCCGGCAACAAAGTGGACACTTGGGCATTAAATGGCCAAACAGAGTTAGTGAAATGCAAGATTTCTGGTCCCAGCTACAGTCTCTGAAGACATGGGATATCTCATCTTTCAACTGAAGGTTTGTTTTTCTATCTGGCTATAGGCCCTTTCATCAGAATACAGAAGTTGCATTTCTCCTGTGTGGCACTCGGAAGTCATAGCTATATATATCCACGACAGGCAAAAACCCCAGTGAGGATATGTTCTTCCAAACAATCTGAAACTACTTCTGACGTACAAACCAACCTTCAAGGAAGGAGATTCTACCTGCCAACACTGCTGTTTGGAGCACAATTTTTAGACCTGGCTCCATTTGTTTATTCACTTTATAATATTATTTTCACCAGATTAAAAATCTAAACACACGGATCCTAAAGACACTATATCTATATGATGTCATAACCTTAAAGGAAAATTTGAGGGGTGCCCTGGTATATCTCCAGCCTTTGTTTATGTCCCATTCACACTCTCATGAATAGTTGACCATCACATTCAAAGCACAACTATAATATCTGTTCATATAAAACTTCAAAGAACTTGAGGTAGGCTGTCATCTTTGTTGGTATCCATCCCCCCACCATCACCTATCCCTGCTCACACCTAATTTTTAATTATCAATTTTCTATTGCAATCTATGTATTTTTCTCACTTAGGTATTTCTAAAGCTAGAGAACAGTTGAAAATCCTACCTTGGAAAACAATTCTTTCTATTTTTCCTGGTTTCTACAGCCTGTCTTCATATACTCTGAATTTCCAGACTTCTTAGAGGAACATGTAGTGGTCTATCACTGACAATAGACACCTGTTATAGGTCAATTTGGCAAATACTGAGTATAATTTAGTTTCGTACTCTTAGAGAGCCTATACATCTGCCCTGTTACTTAACAATGCAAGAAATGATTTAGTAAAGTCAGTGACCCGTTGGGAAGACAAAAGTAAACTCTTATAATGAAGCATCTAGTACTCTTCGCTATGCATGTAAAATAGTATTTTAATGAGCTAAATGAATTTGAATATTTAAGCTCTGAATAACTTTTACAATTTTTTTTCTCTGAACTTAAAACATCCCATAGAGAACCCAAATTCTTAGAGGCTTGTTTACCATGGTTGTTTCCCACCTGTAATGTATTTTTTAAAAAGTCCTTCAAAAGCACACAATAGAAGAGGTTTCATGTAGATAGCAAAAAAATCATTTTAAAAATATTTAAAAGATGGCATTGTGAGAGTAGGAAATAGTTGGTTACAAGACTTTTTGGAGTAGATTATCCACAGATTGCTCCAGAACTTCTTAATATCTTGATAACTCTTTACAAATTCCAGTTATAATATTCTCTAGAGTGAACTGAACACCAAGAATTCATGTGTGGTCTTACCAGTAAACAAGCAGTGAGGAATTAAGCTGATCTAGAATCTTACATGAATGCTTTTAGTCAAAGATTACACACTTTATTTTAGTAGTCCTAGGAAAATGTCGTTGTTTTGTAAATTTCTTTCCTAATAAGATTCTTAAATTATTTCCACAATTTATTCATTTATTTATTCTTTGAGTTAGTCTTACTCTGTAGCCCAGACTGGAGTGCAGTGGCACGCTCCGGGCCACCGCAGCTTCGACCTGTTGGGCTCCAGCAATCCTTCTGCCTCAGCCTTTCAAGTAACTGGAACTACAGATGCGTGCTACTATGCCTGGTTAATTTTTGATTTATTGTGTAGATGAGGTGTCGCCAAGTTGCCCGGGCGGGTCTTGAACCCGCGGGCTCAGGCAATCCACTCGCCTCAGCTTCCCAAAGTGCTGGGATTACAGGTTGAGCCACCAAGCCTGGCTGCAAAGGGCATTCTTAAAAAATTTTTTTTAATTAATCTATTTTTTTCCTATGAATGCCTTCTTTTATAAAAATTTTAGATTTGGGGGTACAAATGCATGTGTATTACACTGAACGCTTTCTTAATGATTTAGAATTTTTGACTTTTTTTTTTTCTCTGATGGTGGTTAAAACCTATTTGTATCTCCAGATCTTTACATATTGCAGTTTTGGTAACTCTAATTTGAGGCAAGCAGACCTCAGTTCTTTTCCTCAGTGTTATGATTTCAATGTTTTTGTTCCCTCCAAAACTAATGTACTGGAAATGTAATCACCAATAAAACAGTGTTGGAAGGTGGGACCTAATGAGAGATGTTTAAGTTATAAGGACAAAGCCCTCATCAATGGGTTAGTGCCATTATTTTAAAAAAAGGCTTGTGGAAGTGGGTTTCCCTTTTTCAGCTCTTCTGCTGTGTAAGGACACAGCCTTCCTTCTCTCCCTAGAATGATGCAACAAGATGCCACCAGTGACAGAAACTGCCAGCACCTTGCTCTTGGACTTTACAATCTTCAGAACTCTGAAAGAATAGATTTTTGTTGTTTATAAATTACTCAGTCAATGGTATTCTGTTTTAACAGCACAAACAGATACCCTCCAGGATTGCCTCTAGTCAGGGCAGGATTGAGTCAAGAGATGGGTGTGCAATTCATTAAGGGTCCTTTTCTTTTAAAACTTTGAACCAGACAAAGAGATTGCATTCTTCTGTAGGGATGAAACTATGAGATGTAAGATGCAGAAAATCTTAGCAGTAGCCTGGTAAAATAAAACCTGGAAAGGCTAACCTGGGAAGAGAAAGCCAATATGCAATGCAAATGTAAAGACTACTGCTCTGGCTGTTTTCTAGATCCTGGTCCCAATTATTCCTGAAGCTTAGTTGTACCCTAAGGTCCTCTTTGGGTGCTTGAACTAATGAATTTATTTGAATGAAGAAAAGCCCCTTTCACATCAACACAGTTCCTAAATTACATATAGACTTTGCTATCTAAGGTTTTTACCTATTCTTCCATCTCAACTTTATGTCTTATATTATCTTTTTATTGTTGCTGTACGAAATAACCATCAACTGGGTGGCTTAAATAATACAAATTTGTAATATACAAATTTGTCAATACAAGTCTTACTAGCTAAAATCAACATGTTGTTGCTGCATTGCTTTCTAGAGACCCTAAGGAAGAATCGGCTTCCTTGTCTTTTCTAACTTCTAGAGGCCATCTGCATTTCTTGGTTCTTGGCTTCCTTCTTCTATCTTCAAAAGCAGGTGATCATCTGAAGTCATATCTCCCTCTAATCCTGACCTTAACTGGAAAAAGTTACTTTGAGGACTCTTGTGATTAAATTGGACCTACGTGAATAACCCAGGATAATCTCCTTATTTTAAGGTCCTTAATTTTAAGCATGTATGCAAAGTCTCTTTTGCTATGCAAGGTAGTATATTCACCAGTTCTAGGAATTTAGGTATAAATATCTTCAGGTATAAGGGGTCATTATTCTGCCTACCACTAACAAGCGAGGAAAGCATTCCATTTCTCACATTATTCAACTCAGAACTGAATGTATCTTGGACAGAAGAAGCCAAAGACACCCTTCACATGAATAGCAACCTGTTAGCAATGTCTGGGAACCATTGCTGTATTTGAAATCACTCCTTCAAAAAAAAATTGGGGGGGACGAAAAAAATTTCTGCTGATTTTATCTTTTTCTGAAGATGAGTTTGGAGATCCTTACTAGATTTAGCTAGCATACAACCAGAATGCAATCTCTGAGATGTAGAAATAAAAGTGTTTCCATATTTATATACTTGAAGCCTAAGGCTGCTCTCATTCCCGAGCATAGAGAGTAAACACAGCATCTCTTTGTTTTACTAATTGCTTTGTTTCCCTTAGCTGCTAACACAACATCTGCCAGACCAGAATGCACTCCTTCCACACACCATAGAACCACGGCTGGATAAACGATCTACACATCATGGTGTGAGGGCAAGCACTTTGCAGACAGCCAGAAGGCAGTTTTCAAGAGGCAAAGACCTCAAGTAGAAATGAAGCTGAACCACCCCCACCGAATCTTTAGGGTGGTTATGGAGTTGTTGATGCTGTAATGATCTCACACTCTTGGCAATTTTATTGATTTTGTTTTTCAATAGAACTGTTAAAGATTACAATTCTAAGATAGGGAGAATGTGGGCAGATGCTCACATTCTCACACACAGTTCTGCCAAGATATTTTTACATCTTTCTGAACATAAAACAAAATGAAGACGTGTTATAGATGCATGCCACCAGTAACCACCCCCTCCCCAGAAGAAAGGAGTTTACTGTGTGCTCATTTCCTAGATGAAGCATCAAATTTTGCCTAGAGAAAAATAAACAGCATTTCTAAAATAAAAGCGATTTGCTTCCGAGACACCTAATAAAACATTCTTAATTACCAAAAACCATTGAAAAGGCAATTTGGGTCATCACGTTCAAATATCAGTCCTGCTATTTCCAATTCAATATGAACTTGATGCAACATCAAAATACAAAATGCTGCCACAGCTTACGCTCTGTTGATGTTCACTCATCTGCTGTACATCAGAAAGACTCATTTCAAATATGGCATGAAAGAAAGAAAAGTAAGCAAAAAACAAACTCAGAAAAGACTTTTAACAAATCGCCTCAAGAAAAACACTCAAGAGGAAAAAACCACAAAATCATAGCCTTACCTTGGGAGACTTAGGCAGGTATGCTGTCCTTTCTTCTGAGAAGGTTTGCAGAGCTGACTTTGTTTCCTCTGTTGAAGGATGCTTGGGAGGGCGAGGTGGAGGGTGTGAGACAGAGCTTTCATATCTCCGCATCATGTAATATTGTTCTTCGGTGATCTCTTCCACTAGAGTCCTGACTAGAAGTGAGCCTGTGTCCCTAAACAAATTGTTAACTAACTGAACAGTCATATTCAAGCGGCCAACAGGAATTTCCCAGCACTCCCTGGGGTTGGCAAAGTCGCTTATGAGCAGGTAAGAGTCTGTGATATCTTCCTCCAACTGCAGTCCTGGGGTAGCAGCCAAAATGTCCTCTCCAATGGAAAGATCTCTTACAGATACCTTTACATTGAAGGGCAGACGGAACTGTTTACAGAGCTCAGAAAGTTGGTACTGTTTCTTATCATGAATCACCTCTACAAAACCTCCTTCCATGCACAAAGGGAGCAGTGCTGCCTCATAGGCCCTTTTGAGGATTTTTTCACAAGCCAGAACATTCACCACTTTTTTTATGCCCTCACAGAGGACTTCTGTAGTCACTGAGTGATGCACTAGAAACTGGTCCCCAACAGATACAGACGACAGCTCGTCATGAGGTGGACGAAAGGCTTTGGTGGCTACCACATGAAGAGGTTCTTTTTCACTCTTAGCTATCTCTAGGTCATAGGCAGTTGGGAACTCCCGGGGTCGCCGCTTGAATTTGCCTTTATAGCTAGTGGGGATCAAGAAGTGTCTTTTAGGAAAATTGCTTCTAATTTCTGAAGCTAAGATCCTTGATGCCTGGTACTTGTTGTGGATCACAATGGTTTTTCCAGGTTGTAAAATGTTTCTGGGCAGCTGGTTTCCTTGAGGTGCTTCGATGACTTCAGCCACTATGGGGAACTCTTTACTGGTCATTTCAAAAAGATCCTTTGTAGATAACAGTTGAAGAAACCAGTTAGCATCATAAGAGTCTGTAATGTCTTTGACTTCAACATCTAAACTGGGGAGGAGGCGGACTATATCCTTTCGAACTGAAAAGAAAAAAAAGAAGACTATGACATTTTGTACTTCAAAATGTTTGCTATGAGATATTCTGGTTCCATAGATAAATTTCAACTAGAAGATTAAAAACTTAGATGATCACAATATACTATTTCTTATGTGTGATTCCTGTTTTCAAAAGTTAAGATGAGAAAGACTGTATATAAAACCAACACCCATTAGCTCATACTCAGATTAAGAAATAAACAATAGCCAGGCCCTTGGAGCTCTAGACACCTCGCCAAAATCACATTCTCCTCACTGCTATGGAAGGGTAACCACTATTCTGATTCTAGTGTTAATAATTCCTTTGTTTATAGTTATAGTTTTATCATTTAAAACATACATGAATAAAGATGTGGGTGAATATACACGTGTATGTGTTTGAAGGTTTATAAGTTATTAGATCATTTTAAATCATATTCTTAAGGTTCAGACTTTACATGTAAAATCATCATAGAAGAAAGTTCTGGTGTTTCAAGCAAAGCCCTTCATGGATAAGGCCCAAGACATACATTCTTTATACAAAATCCTATCCTGTGGGATAAAACAAAATTGCAAAGCCGGGATCAGTGGCTCAGCCTGTAATCTCGCGCCTTTGGGAGGCTGAGGTGAGTGAATTGCCTGAGTTCGTGGGTTCGAGACCAGCCTGGGCAGGCGAGACCTCATCTCTACAATAAAATCAAAAAATTAGCCGGCGTGGTAGCGCGCGCCTGTAATTCTGGCTACTAGGAAGGCTGAGGCGAAAGGATCGCCGGAGCCCAGCAAGTCGAGGCTGCGGTGGCCGGGAGCGGCCACTGCACTCCAGTCTGGGCGACAGAGTGAGACTCCAACTCAAAAAAAAAAACAAAACAATATTGCAAAATCATGAGATACAAGGTACTTAAGATTAATATGTGGAAATGACAAGCATGCACTCTTTTTCCAATGTCAAAGTTATTTCTTTCTACACTGGTGTTATATTATACCTAGGTAGAACAGGAGTGCTACAAGGTGGGTCACAGTCAGCAGAGCCACTCAGGAGCCCCAGGTTTGCTGTCAGGTGCTACCAATGTATTCATTGTGTCACGTGACACTGGAAATTAGTGAATCTCTTTATTCTTTGCAAGCACCCATTGTCCCAGAGGTCGGTTTTGGGGACTACAGAGACACCTAAAATATCACCCTGCAATTTATCTGCTCTTTATATGCTACCCTACATAGTATCATTATACATGGTCTTGAATTAAAAATAAAATTATTTGTTAACATTAATGGGATTTTATAATAGTTTCTATTTTCTTGATAATTTCTTAATGCGCGTTTTATAGCATTTTCATGATCTGGCACGGTTTCCCAATTTTTCCAACCACTCTTCTGTCAATTTTCTTTCTTTCTTTCATGCTTTTTGAAAAGGAACAATTTGAAAGACTTACAAGACAGAATTTCACCATTAAAAATATTACCTATGTTATTACTGTTGATATTATTAACTGTTTATGCAGCATCTGAAAGCTCTAACTCTATAATTTGTGTCACATTACTTATATATCCTGTGTAATTATAGAGTTTGTGAAGATACAGCATGAAAAAGCATCACTTTATTGAAAATAAAAAAATTAAAAATTCATGGTTGCCTATAGACTCGAGGTCTATAAAACTGTAAAGATTTTTTAATTTTTAGAAAAGAAGAGGAGGACTGAAAGAGCTCTTCTTACCCTAATCAATTCGTTTCATAAAGTTTCACATATCTTAAATTTTGATGTTGTTAAAACAGTCATCCCTGAGCCCCAGGGGACTTTAGAATCTAAAATTGTGGTCATTTGAATCAAAATTTCAGAATCAAATTCTGAGCCTAGTTCTTCAAGGGCTTCCTAGGCTCACACTGTTTCTCAAGCTTAGGGAACAGCTGGAGATTGGTAAAATAGATGCCATCAAGGACTTCCTGGGCACTATGAGTTAATTTATCAACCATCAGGGCCCCAGTGCTAGCAAGACCCCAATCTAGATTTGTGCATGATGGATGCTGTCAGCTAGCAATAGCCTTATGTTTGGAGGACTTTATTGCTGCCAGAGAAAGCCTACAGAGCACACTGTCTAACCTCTGTTAAATTTTTTATATCCAATTTCTGACCTATCTTTGATACTTCTGTACCTGAATTCAATGAAGTAATGTTGCCTCATTTTACTTAATCAGCAGCATTTGACAAAGTAGATCAGACTCCTTCCCCTTTGATATATTTTCCTCACTTATTTTTCTCTAATCTAACATGTGATTCCTTTTTTTTCTGGTTTCTTCTCTTTACATACCACCCACTCCTCACACACAGGCGCACACACACACACACACACACACACACACACACACCTTTTAGTGTATCTTGGTTCTTTCTCTATCTACACTCACGCCTACAATGATCTTACACAGTCTCATGTCTTTAAATATCATCTATATGTTGACAACTTCCCAAAGAATAGCTCCAGCCAAATCATTCTCCTGAACTCCATATGTCTACTTCAGATCTCCATTTGAATATTTAATAGAGGTCTCAAAATTGACATGCCCAAACTGAAATCTGATCTTTCCTCCCAAACCTAGGCTATCTGCCACTTTCCTTATCTCAGTTATTGGGAAATTCTTTCTCCTTTTCTCATCTATAAATCTCAGACTTCAGACTGTCTCTCTGACCTCTTTGCTGTCAGTCAGCTCTTTGCACAGCCTGTTTCCTCTGCCTGTTACATTCTTCAGCCAGATAAGTTCATAGTCAACTCCTCTTCTTCTTCAAGTCTACTTAAATTATCATTTTGCCAATAAGACCTACTCTAAATGTTGTTTTTGAAAATGCAACCATCCCTGCTCTTTGCTTTTCTCTGTTTCTCTATTTTTCATGTCACCCTTCACCTTCATTTATTCCATATAACTTGCTTATTTATTATGACGATTATCTAGTGCTTGTTTCTCTAAATTAAGACATATGCTTCCCAGAAACAGGAGTCTTTGCTTGTTTTGTTTGTCAGTATATCCCAGTGTCTAGAATGGTGCTTGGCACATATTAGGGATCAGTGAGAAAGTAAATGAATAAAAAAATAATTGCCAGAACATCAGCGAGTGAGCATTAAAAGAAAGTGATCCAGTAAACAGATTGCATGTAAAATTTCAATGAAGGAAAAAGAAATGTCCACTGTTAAAACTCCTGCTATTATTCATAACAGATATAGTATATTTCTTTCTAAATATTCATTTTTATATTTCTCCTAAAACAAGTCTTTTAAGCTCACAGTTTAACTTAATCAACAGCATATCCAATTCAATAAATATTTGTATTGTTTCATTTATATAAAATAATAGAAATATTAGGGTAAAAATATGAGCAAAGTGAAATCTTTTTCATCAAATTTTTTATATAAAAGATTAGGCAAAATCATGATGTATATATCTAAAGAGAAGATTCAACACAGGAAAATAGCATATGCAGTGAAAATCAACAACTCTTCTTAGATTCACCAGAAAATTGAGTTCACAGGGCAAGTCACCACCCCAAAAACTAGAGAGGTAGATGAATATTGAGAGTTACAGCTTACTAGGAACAAGAACTACTGCTGGTAAGAACACTTAAAGGGTAATTGAATAGTTGCTGGACATTAAGTCACTTGAGATATAAAACTCCCGGGTTCATGCTCAGGACTTCCCACACTTTCCTGAGTTTTATTTTCTGGAGCCCCACCATGTTCTCAGAGTGAATACTGGAGAAAAATCTCCTTGTCCTTCCAGCAGAGGAAGAGGAAAAGCAAGCACTGTGAAATTTACCCAGAGCATTCTGTTCTCAAAAACAAAACCCAAAAGCCTACCCTCAAGCAAAACAAATTTATCACAGCCTAACCAACTTGTTTTTGTTTTGCTTTTTTTTTTCCAGAGCCTAAGCAACATGGTCGGAGAAAATTATTCAACTTCTACCACTTCTAGCCTTCTATGTAGGGAAAGGAAATACCTTACTCCAACCTCCTCTATACTTGCACAACTCAAGTCCCCACTAGCCATTCTGTCTAGAGGCTAAAAAGGAGGAAAAAAAGATGAGAAGCACTTGTGACAGTCACAACCTAGAGACACAGGCTTACTGAAAGACTGAAATTATATGTAAAATGGTAGAATGCACCCATCCAACCATACCTTAAGACTACATCAGCAGTGTTCCTGTATAATAACAGGAGATTATAACTGAAAAAATGATGTTTAAGAATCTACATAAGAAGGAGTCTCTAGGGAAAGTCAATAGGGCAGTCAAAAACAAGGACACCACATGAAATGTCAGCCTTTGGTATTTACAGTTACAGCAAACAGTAAACACAGCCTAACTCCTAGCCAGATCATAAAACCTCACACTAAAGGATTGTTTACCTCAGTTTCCTTTACCTGAAACATCATGTCTGGTTTTCAACAAAAATGTCAACATATGTCAAAAGGCAGAAAAGCATGATCTGAAGAGACAAAATAAGCATCAAAGCCTGACTTAGCTACAGCAGATATTTTGGAATTTTCAGGCCAGAAACTCAAAATATGATTGATATGCTAAGAGAATATTATGGCAATAATAGAAAAAGGGTACAACATCAAGAAAAGATGGGAATCTAAGCAGAGAGGTGGAAATTCTAGTGAAAAAATTAAAAGGCAATGATGGAAATTAAAAACACAGAAATAGAAATAAAGAATTACTTTTGCTGTTTCCTCAATAGTCTGGATACTGCTGAGGAAAGAATTAATGAATCAATCTTTCAGTTATGTCAACAAAATCTTCCCAAATTAAAAAGAAGAAAAAGAAATAAAATATATGGAACAGAATACCCAAATATTGCAAGACTATTGCAAAGATGTAACATACGCACCATGGGAATACCAGAAGGAGAATAAAGAAGGAGGGAAACAGAAGAAATCTTTGAAGAAATAAGATCAAGATTATTTCAAATTTAATGAAGCTCAGAAAAAACTAAACAGAATAAATACCAAAAAATTTAT